GGCATTGCTTGATGTAAAAATCCTAACAGCTCTCTCCCTAATTTGAGGGTTGCAATATATGAAGGCATTCCGTTGACCTTGAGAGGCCTGCTTCTGCCTCTCCTTCCCATGGCTTTGCTTGCACCTGAATTACTTCTCCTGCAGGAGCAGCCTGGTATCTCTGTCTAACCCAGCTGCTCAGCTCATGCTATCATGCTATCCTCCCTTCCCTGCCTGTCAGCTTCCCAAGTAGTTTCATTCCCACACTCAGAAACAACATCTTGCTCCAAAACCCCTTCTGTTCTCCCAACCGGAGAACCATCTTGCTCCAACAGCCCCTCTGTCTGGGCACCCACAGAGCCATCAGGCCCTCCATCCCTAAACTCCTCATCATCACCCATTGACTGAACTACAACAGTATTCATCAGCACTAGATCCAGGCAGAGTCTCTTCCTGCCCTTCACCTTGGTCTCCACTGCCATGGGAATCAGCAGCTCCTCGCCAGCAAACTGCCCTTCTTCTGGGCCCCTGACCCCAGGGACAAAGAAGGCAGATCCTCCTCCACCACTACTGCTTGGGCATGCAGCTGCCTAGAGCTCTCCTCCCTTCCCCTCCTGTTCCTTCTTTCCAAGGGGGAAATTGCACTTGATGAAGGTGGTGGCAGCAGATAAGGAGAAGAAAAGAAGAGGAACTGCTCTCCTCATTGCCAGGGGCATGAAAGAAGAGGAACATGCTGGCTCCATGTATGCCAGTGAGGAGCAGCTAAGTCCTGTGAAGGTGGAGGCCAAAGTGGAAGCCAGGAAGAGGCTCTGCCTGGGGCTGGTGTTGCATCCATGTTTGACTTCCCTGACCTCCTCTCAGCATGAGGATGTGGGCAGGCCAACACGTCCTCATGTTTATAGGAAGGTAAGAGAGAGGAGGGCTGGAGAAAAGAGTACAAAAGGGCAACATCCAGCCCCCAGGTCTAGGTTTCTCCATACCTGCCCTAGAAAAAGTGTTTTAGAGAGTTGTTAATCTGGAGAAGAGAAGGTTAAGAGTTTTCATGAGAGTCATGCTTCAATATTTAATGTTATCCGTGCTCTAGTCTCCTGCTCTGGAGACTAGAACATGGAACAATGGATTTAAACTACAGGAAAAGAGGTTCCTCTTCAAAGGTAGGAAGAATTTGGTGTAAGAGCTGTTTAACAGTGTAATATAGACTCCCTGGGGGTCTAATGGAGGCTAGAGCTAGATCTACATTGTCCTATATGCCAGGATCTGATTATTTGCTTGTAGAAATCTACACTGCCAGATAATCTGGGATAAGAAGATAATTTGGGATCAGATCCTGGGATATAAGCCAGTGTAGATCCATCCGGAGTCTCCTTCTCTGGAGGTCTCTCTATATAATTCTATGTGGATTATATCTTAAGGCTGACATTCTATTAGTGACATGAACATCCATACATCTTGTATGTTGCTAATTAATCTCTTTTGCACAAGAGATGCATTATGTTGACAACGGTGGAAGTAGAGTTGTGCATACAATAGCACTAAACATTGCAGTTATGCACTGCACACTGTGGTTGTGCATTGCAAAGTGACACCCAGCTATTGACATGTTATGCACAAGGCATAGGGGTTGTACAATGTTGGTACAGCATATCTCCCACAGAGATATTTATGTTGGGGTGAAGCCATTTTTTTCTATTCCGTAGTTATATTCTGTTTGGGTGTTTCTTTGTATCACTCCTGATACCATACATACAATTAACATGCATCTCTAACAAATTCCTTTTTTCTGCTTTGTTTTGGAGCAATTTTCTGAAATCCTTGCCTAAGCCTTTTTAAAAATGTGCTCGTGTTTTGAAACAACATTTAAGCAATATGAACATTTTTGTGCTGAAAACATAAAATGCATTTTTGATTTGAATCCTGTGCTAATCTTGAACAGGATGCACTTTGTAGCTTTCAACATCAAGGACAAATATCAGACTCCAGCTTTTAAAAACAACATGAAGTGATTCAAAATACTGCTTTCCAAGTGAAAATACAAATGAATGCCAAGAAATTAAAAGCAAGAAAATCAACCATATTTACGTTGTACAATTGAAATGCACATTGAAACTACTCAAGTTCTGGAAATCCACAACTTTATACTAAATGATAAAAAAATAACCCACAATTGTTGCTACTATGGGCTGACCATGGTAACTTCTTTACCTAGATTGTTGTGAACCTGGAATAGCATTTCTCAACAGTGTATGGCACCATACGGCTGCGTAATTTTACAGCACTTGATATCACATTGACTGCCATAGCTCAATGCTATGGAATTGTGGTGTTTGTAGCATTGTGAGATATTATTTACACATCTCTGTAAGACTACAAATTTCAGGATTCTATAGGATGGAGCCATGGCAGTGTCAAACTGCTATAATTCTGCAGTGTGGATGGGAGATTAGTTCAAGTCACATCTCGCTTTCTGATTTATGGGTGCTTTTACTCATATCCCACTGCTGTGTGAGTTCTAGGGCAGCTTCCTCTGAATTGCCAATGCCACGTCTATCACTATTAAGAGATGTGTTGTTTTCTAGGCATAGACAAGAAGTACAACAGGCATATTTATAAATAATGTACAGTACAATCCTAACATAGCATACCTTGCAATAGTTTCCAAATGAAAACCATACATATATGGCCAAGCAACGTTAGGGTGCAGTCAAGATTTTAATGAGAAGGAATATCCAAACTAGGAAAGGCTGCAGCACCTTGGTTTTGCCTGAGTCTACTGGGAAGGGCAAAATCCCATCTCTGTGCTCCTTTCCCCTCTGCTGCATTAACTTGGGTCCCACTTCAGGAGAAAGGAAGCAACCAATCACTTAATCAATACTTTTTGCATATTGAACTCGGTTCATAGCAATTGAAGTGAGTTGACAATAAGGTGAGAAAAGAAAAGAGATATAGCAACATTTGAAAAGCAGCTGAAATAGTGAGATGGCGAAGGACAGTTGGAGAATATGCAACAGAAGAGGGGAATTTTCCTGTGAGATAAATCATAGCACTATTTATGTTATTTTTAATGGGAGACGTTGGTTTGTCTCCTTCCCTTCCATTAAAAATGAGGAACTGAACTTCTCTTCCACACCACACAATAGTATTCCTTGGATCGGTCATTTTGTGAGCTATGGTATGATACCCCATATCCATGGGAGATGCATTCCTGGACTTACCATGGAAACATGAAACCAGATAATAGTGGGCCCTATTAAAATGAATAGCTTCTGGTGGAAGCTTTCCATAGAATTATGCTGAAGGACACAGAAAATGTTTAGAGAGGACATCTCAGTATGGTCTTTCAGCATAACTCTATGGTCAACTTCTGGTGGAAGCAAAGCATCAACTACATCAGAGGAACCAGAAAATGCCTAGAGAAGATACCGTGCTAGTATTTCTAGGTCTTCCAGTATGACCGCAGTAGAAGACTACCATTGAAACATGCTGGAGGACCTAAAAATGCCAACAAATAACACATCTCTTTGGGCAACAAATAATACATCTCTGAGGGTGCAGGTAAGTAAAATTACAGTTTCTGGTCCCATGGATATAGGGGTTATGCTGTATTTAGAATTTTCTGACAGAGCACTTTGATGCCTTGCCAAGGTATAGATTCCAAGATCTGATAGAAAGCAGCCATAGCAATTAAAGTAGCATCAATGTAAATTGTGATGTGTGAAAACAATATGAGTATGAAAGGAGGTTCCTAACATGGCTTCACATGGGATATAAAAAAACTCCAGAGTAGATTCACAGTTCTGGCATGGAAGCCACCAGATGCCACTGGACATTTAGAAATTCACCACATACACAACCACAGAAATGATGGAGAGTTATAAAGGAGGAAAAGATTCCTTGCTCCAGGAAGCAAAGGAATGGGGTGCAGTATTGATACTGAAAGTCAGCCAAGTTAATTCCCAGCATGAGGCTGAAGACCCCATAAACACCATTTTCATTTCCTTGCAGAAAAATGCAAAAGAGCGAAGTAAATAACTACTAATATGTTGCTCTTTCATGAACACCTCATTTTACCATTCCATACTGCAGTGACAAAAGAGAATGTCACATCAAATAATTGCAAGAAGCAATGCAAAAAGGTAGATTCAACGTATTACATTTCGTGCATGAGCACCAGGCATGTGTAGCTAAGCAACATCAGATCATGGTCAAAATGGCAATGAGGAAGAACATACAAAGTAGCAGATGTTTCAGAAGTTTGCTTTTGCACAGACCTCCTGCTCTCCTCTCTTTTCCTTCTTGCTGAGTGGAGTGCCCACTCTTTTTGCACTTTGAACTCAGTTTGCAGCGATTGAAGCAAATGAGGGACATTGGAGGAAAAGAGGAGGAGCAGAGAGAAATCAATATAATGTATCTACAGCAGATGGAAAACTGGGAAAACACAGGATTACAGGCAGTCCCCAGTTATGAACAAGATAGATTCTGTAGGTTTGTTTTCAGTTGAATTAGTTTGTAAGTTGGAACCAGTACATTTTTAAGTGTAACTCCAAATATGTGTGTATTTGTGTGCGCGCGCAAGCTTTGGATAGCATAGGGAAGTGTAAACACCCCTGTAGATTTTGTTTTGCCTCTGCTCACCTGGTGAGACTTCACCTCACTTTCTGTCCCTGTGAAAATTGGATTTTGAAAAAATTGGTTTGTTGCGGAAACAAGGATTTTTGATAAAGGTTCAGTGGAGACTCCTCCCCATGTTAACCCTTTCAGGAGGGAATTTCCCTTCCTGGGGGTAAATTTCTCTCACTTCCTGTGGTCTCAGGCCTGTTCTTAAATATGAGTCATTTGTAAGTTGGATGTTTATAACTCAGGGACTGCCTGTAATTGCAAGTCATTCTGCTAAATCAGAACAGCTGAATGATAGGAAATGACATGGACTTTCAAAAACAGAGCAGAAAGAACAATTAGAAATGTGCCAAGTTATAGGAAGTCATTTTTTCTAATAAAAGAAAAAAAGTCAGTCACTTCTTTACCTTAATTAGAGCCTTCTTTCAATGTCCGTGAAGGAGTGAGAAAATTGTTTTGCGAAGAAATAAAGGGTATCCATCCTAGGAAGGAAACAGCATTAAAAGAATTATTAGAATTTTTGAAGGATTCAGTTCATTTTGCACAATATTAAAGTTAAAATGCCAAGACAAATGAGTCATTCCTGTTCAGAAGACGAAGGAAAGCTGATAGGAAAGTCTGAGAGTTTTATTGTCTTTGTAATTGCTCCAGTCTGTACGTTCCTGAAATAAGAATTTCTCATCAAAACATCTCGGATTGCACAGTCAACAGAATCAAGGGGTGACTTTTTTCTTGGACTATATATTGAAGTACAAATAGGAGAGTGGTTGCCTACCTTTGGAGAGAATGTGGGGAAAACATCTGTATATAGACCAGTGGTTCCCAACCTGTTGGGAACCAATGGTCTGCAAGAACTAATATATGGTCCACGGCCTCACCATTACTACACCATTACAATGAGAGTGACTGGACTCATGAATCCCTTTCATAGTGCTGAGGCTCATTAAATATCATTTTCTGTGGGAGAGCAGATGGCACCTACTGGGTGACATATGTTCTGTATCAGAAACTAGAGCTGATGTGGTCTATTCAAGGCAATTTTCTGAATCAGCACCCCAAATAACCAAACCAAATCTAACCCTTTTGATACTAATGTTGAGGAGCAGTCCCTGGTCAAGTGACCCCTGGTCAAAACAAGGTTGGGAACCACTGATATAGACCAAATATCTTGCATAGGAGTGCATCTCTACTGTAGCAGTAATGCAGTTTGTCATCACTTTAAGTGTCAAGGTACAGTACTATGGGATCTGGGACTTTCAGCTTGGTGAGGCAAGAGCACTGTTTGGCAAAGCAAGCTAAAGACTTTAAAAACTGCAACACTCACAATTCCGTAGCATTGAAACATGGAAGTAAAAATAGTATCAAGCTGCGTTAATCCTAAAATACCTCTGATGGGTTCCCTCTAACATCAGAGAATGTCTACCTATATTTGTGGGCATCAAGGAGTTATGTGGCCAATTGGCCACACTGAGCAGCACTAGAGTATTTTTCACTAATTTTTCAAAGAAAGCAACAAATAATTTAGTAATTTCATCCCCACTCTGAGAAGGTCTTTGAAAACCACACCGTTTTTCAAGCCAATTTGCAATTCAGGACTTCTTCTGGGTAAAATGTTCACATGGTTCTTTCGCACAATTTTGTAATTGAATCTATAATGAGTATTTTCTTATAGATGAAGAGTGGGAGGGGAAATCTGTTTTTGAATTTGTGTAATTAGAGTTGAGCATCCCTTATCTGGAACTCCAAAATCTGAAATACTCCTAAAACCAAAATTGTTCGCATTGGTGCTAAGTGGCAAAACCAGTGACACCTTTGTTTTCTGATGGTTCAGTGTACACAATGTTTATTCCAGGCACAAAATTATTTAATTACTGTATAAAATAACATTTGGAGCCCACAGTGGCACAGTGGGTTAAACCGCTGAGCTGCTGAACTTGATTATTGAAAGGTCGCAGGTTCAAATCCTGGGAGCAGTATGAGTTCCTGCTGTTAGCCCCAGCTTCTGCCAACATAGCAGTTCGAAAACATGCAAATGTGAGTAGATCTATAGGTACCACTTCGGCGGGAGGGTAATGGTGCTCCATGAAGTTATCCTGGCCATATGACTTCGGCTTGGAGATGAACACCAACCCCCAGCATCGGACACGACAGGAGAAAACATTTGCCTTTACCTAAAATTACATTCAGGCTATGTGTATAATAGATAGATAGATAGATAGATAGATAGATAGATAGATAGATAGAATCATAGAATCATAGAGTTGGAAGAGACCTCGTGGGCCATCCAGTCCAACCCCCTGCCAAGAAGCAGGAATACCACATTCAAATCACCCCTGACAGATGGCCATCCAGCCTCTTTTTAAAAGCTTCCAAAGAAGGAGCCTCCACCACACTCCGGGGCAGAGAGTTCCACTGCTGAATGGCTCTCACAGTCAGGAAGTTCTTCCTCATGTTCAGATGGAATCTCCTCTCTGGTAGTTTGAAGCCATTGTTCCACATCCTAGTCTCCAGGGAAGCAGAAAACAAGCTTGCTCCCTCCTCCCTGTGGCTTCCTCTCACACATTTATACATGGCTATCATATCTCCTCTCATACTTCTATTCTTCAGGCTAAACATGCCCAGCTCCTTTAGCCGCTCCTCATAGGGCTTGTTCTCCAGATCCCTGATCATATATATATTGATATATATAAAGCATCAATTAATTTTCTGAGTTCATTTCCAGGATATGTCATTATGTATTTATGAATGTATGCATGCAAATACAGGTATTACAGAATTTGAAAAAAAAAACTGAACTCAACCTGTAGCATATTTTACATAAATTGGTATTGCAAGCTCCATATCTTGTAGTGTGATTTTGGCAAAAATGACTATCACATGACTATTAATATCTCTTCAGCCAATGGTATTTTGGAAAGCAGCCTAATACCTCATCTACATTATTGTTTAAGCTGGAAGGCGTCCAAAAGAATATAGAAAACTTGTGAAGTTTTTCTTGCCCCAGTTCTCCAGCTCTTGCACATTATAGAACAGGTAAATGGTTCACCAGTAGTGACAGCGGCAAGCAAATGACAAACTGCCTGAAAGAATCACCCACTGCAATTTACAATGACAATGTTTGTCACTGTAGTTAGGCAGTTTGTCCTTCACACTTAAGGAGACAGCCGTACGTGTGGCCTTTTGCAGTTTTACACAGAGCGAGATGAAGGCTGGGAGAGTGATTGCACTGGGGAAAATGGTAGGTGCCCACATGAGTACTTTGTCTTGTTTTCTAACCAGAAAACATCCAATTCTATTTTGTATGTGCGTGTTCGACGCACTTAGAAGTAGATGAAGAGCATTCTCTGGCTTCACAAACAATACAATTCCCATCTATTAGTGAAGTGTGAGGATGAGTGCCAATCTTGACGCAACTGAAACAGCACTGCTAACTTACAAGAGTCTCAATCCTACATCCACTCAGGGTAGCGTAAACATCTGGATGCAGATGGATGCCAAGTTCAGCCATATCCCCTCCTCTTACTGGTAAACCGCCCTGGATGGCCATTTCATTTTACAAAGCAAATAGAGAGACTCGGAAAAGCATCTAGAATTGTACCTTGAGCTGAATGTGAAATTATCACAGCAATGTGGAGATTCCTAGAGGACCCTAGCAGTTCATAGTATGGATGTCATCATTTTGCATCTGGCTATGGGATGCAGAGAACCTACATCCTATATGAGCCAGAGTTTTCTAAGGTGAGGAATCTTCAAAGGTAGTTTTGCCAGTTCCATCCTCTGAAATACAGCCTACTACACCTAGTATTATCTGGTGGGCTCCTAGTCATGATTTCATGATCAGACAGGATATGGTACCTTTAGGGTATTTAGGCCCAACAAAATTACACACAAACTACAAATTTGCGGCTGAGACCCTGTTACTTTAGTTCAAACTAGAGTAGCCCCACTCAATCAAATTGAGTCAACATGTACATAAATAGAGTTGATTCAATGACTCCAATCTAGTTGATATCAACAATAGCGTTGAGGGCTATGCGAATGTAATTCTGCTTACACAACTTTGTACTGAATTGCATAACATTGCATAACAGTCAAAACAATACAACTGCATGTGCTGACAATTTAAGGTAAGGTAAAGGTTTTCCCTATAAGTCCAGTCATGTCTGACTCTGGGGGTTGGAGCTTATCTCCATTTGTAAGCCAAAGAGCCGGTGTTGTCCATAGACACCTCCAAGGTCATGTGGAGCGCCATTACCTTCCTGCCAGAGCGGTACCTATTGATCTACTCACATTTGTATTTTTTTAACTGCTAGGTTGGCAGAATCTGGGGCTAACTGTGAGAGCTCACCCCACTCCCCGGATTCGAATCGCAGACCTTTCAGTTAGCAAGTTCAACAGCTCAGTGGTTTAACCTACTGCACCACCGAGGTCACTGAAAATTTAAGCGGGTGCACAAATCCAAGAGAGCCAGATAAATAGATGGATACATTGATATTGAGAGTCAGTATAGTGTTTTGATTTGAATACTGAATGAACTACAACACTGGAGACAAGAGTTTAATGTCCCAATTAGCCATGGAAATCTACTTTCATAGAACCCCCTGCCAAGAAGCAGGTAAATCGCATTCAAAGCACCCGCGACAGATGGCCACCTAGCCTCTGCTTAAAAGACTCCAAAGAAGGAGCCTCCACCATACTCTGGGGAAGAGAGTTCCACTGCTGAACAGCTTTCACAGTCAGGAAGTTCTTCCTAATGTTCAGGTATGTGACTTGTACTTTGGGGTAAGTCACACACTCTCAGCCTCAGAAAGCCTGTTATAATTTTGCCTTAGGATCACCCACCAGTTGGAAATAAATGTAAGTTACACAACAACAAAATGACATGATTCTGACTTCTGGTTCCCTGTGCTGCTTAATATGTTTCCCTAGCATGTAGGATGAACGTGGGGCTGGAATATATTTTTGAATATAGACCACTCGCTTGAAATTCCCTCCTACTCCATTTTATTTGCTTATCCAATAAATTAGCCTTTGGACATTTGACTTCTGCTGACAGGGTTACTACAACGACACTCTACAAAATATGTGATAGGAAGACACGGGATATATTCCATGAAGAAGCAAGACCTGGTACCGAATAAGCAGCAACAGATGTTTCAGGTCATTCCTAGTTCCTTATCAAGCTACACCTTCTGTTAAAAGCAGGCTCGTCACTTCTGCTATTGATTGCAAAAGGTATGTGAACATCTTAGTGAGATTAACATGTCAAAAAACTGCCAAGATGTCTTAGGAACCATACAACATAGAGATGTATTATGAATGGGACATGGCTAGATATTAACAACCTCTATCAGTAATAGAACATTGACAGCAACTTGGTAGCAATTCAAGGAGGACAATCTTTGACTAATTATCGGACAGTTACTTGGACAGGAAAAGATAATCAGTTATCTGTGTAAATTTATTTGGCTTTTTTAAACAG